GTGGGGATCAAGCCCACAACCCAGGCATGTGCCCTTGGCCAGAATGGAACCTGGGACCCTTCAGTCTGCAGGCTGACGCTCTATCCATTGAGCCAAGCTGGTGAGGGCTATATATATCCTGTATAATAAAAGTCCAGTGACCGAACGGCAGAATGACCAGAATGACCTGTGGACCAGTTGCTAAGACGCACACTGACCAACAGTGGGCAGACGGTCAACACAGGAGCTGCCCCCTGGTGGTCAGTGCACTCCCACAGTGAGGGCGCCTCACAGCTGGCCAGGATGAGCAGCTAGCTGCCCCTGGGAGCAGTTGCTCAGAGGGCAGGTTCACAGCTGCTCGGCTGACCTGGAAGAGTGTCTGTTCCCACAGCAGGCCAATCCCTGAAGGCCACCCCTCTCCCCACCAGTGCACAGATCCTGTGCACCGGGCCTCTGGGATATATATATATATATATATATATATATATATATATATATATATCTATCTATCTATCTATCTATCTCCCATGGAGTGAGGGTATATTTATGTATTTCAGAGAGGAAGGGAGAGGGAGACAGAAACATCAATGATGAGAGACAGAATCATTGACTGGCCACCAGCCTGCAACCTGGGCATGTATCCTTTATTGGAATTGAACCCAGAACCTTTCAGTTCACAGACTGATGCTCTATCCACTGAGCCAAACCAGCTAGGGCTAAATCTATGTTTTTATTGATTTCAGAGAGGAAGGGAGAGGGAGAGAGGGATAGAAACATCAATGATGAGAGAATCATTGATGGGCTGTCTCGTGTATGCCCCCCATTGGGGATCGAGCCTGAAACCTGGGCATGTGCCCTGACTGGGAATCCAACCCTGACCTCCTGGTTCATAGATTGACACTTAACCACTGAGCCACCATGACTGGGCTAAACTAAAAAAATTTTTTTTAAAAAAAAATTGACTTCAGAGAGAGAGGAAGGGAGGGAGGGAGAGAGAGGGAGAGAGGGAAAGAGAGAGAGGAAGAGAGGGAGGGAGAGAGAGAAAGAAATCTCCATGAGAGAAACCATCCATCTGCTGCCTCCTGCGTGCCCTGCGGGAATTGAATCAGTGACCTCACGGAGCATTGGCCACCCTCACTCCTCGGAGCCACGCCTTTTTTCTTGATCTTTCTGCACCGGCATCTTTCTCCTTCTTTGCAGCAGGCCAGTTATGCGTGGTAAACTTGACCGTTGTTGTCCTTTGTCCCTAAATCATGCCAAGCTCTTCTGGGCTCCTTTTCCAACGGCCAATTACACATATTAAACCGGGGACAAAAACACATCAGGCTTGAAGCATTTCTGGAAGGAAGCTTTCTCTGTTCGGGAATAATTCTCCCTGGCTGTTTAAAGAGCCCTTTAGAGACGAAGAGCCCGCTTTGCGGTGTCTGCCTCTCAGAAGCAGGCGGGCTTGCAGGCAAGGTTGTCTGGTTTTTCCTTCTTCGGGGAACACAATGCCGCCAGCTTGGAGAGTTGCGGGCCATCCTGGCAGGTGAACCGGGCTGAGGTAGGGAGGTGGGAATTGAGGAAAGAAAGAGAGACAGAAGAGCGGGGTGGGGAGGACTACAGGTCATCCAGGAACTGTAGCAAGTTCATTAACTATGGAACGTCTTTTATACACAGAACACTGAATAGGAGGTCTGTTCAGAGGTACGTGCCCTTTGTTCCTCTTACTCTCCAAAGGAGAGATAGAGCCGAAGGACAACTTTGTAGTACAGTAAATCTCGGTAGATAATTACAGACTTCTTGGCAAGCCATGAAAGGTTGCTCTCATTCTACTGATGATCGCCATCCAAACAGGTCAGGAAAACCGTTTGGGTAGGGCACCAGCCTTGCTGCCCCCTCGAATGCAAGGACCTTGTCAGCTTACATCCTGTCACCAACAGGGAGTCTTGCCTCTTGGAGGGCCCCCGATCTCCCCAACCAATGATAATATACATTAATCCAACAAGGATTTATTAAGTATCTACCAGGAGCACAGCCCTACTTAGCATGCTGGGGACACAGCAGTGCCCACAACAGACAAAATCTCTACTGGGCCTCAGGGTGCCTTCTTCTTAAACCTCCTCGCCTTCTGTGCGTCAGCGTCAATGCGTGCTGGCTTCCCGGACGGCCTTTGCAGAGCGCCGGCAACCCAAGTGTGTCAGAAGCAAGGGGGGCAGGTAGCATCCAGCTACTTATTCCTCAGGCATTTATTGAGCACTTACTATGTGCCAGACGCTGTTTTACGTGCTCTGTGTTCATCACATAAGCCTCACAGCTGCGCGGACGTAAGAATGAGCTCCCGTGGTAAAGATGAGGAAACGGAGGCCCCAGGAGGGTGAGCCACTTGCCCTGTGGCATGCAGATGAGCTAAGGGAATGGGCAAGGCCCTTTCGCTCTTTAAAAAAATAATAACAATAAAAAAATATTTATTTTTTTAAACTTAAAAAAAATATATATAATTTCTTTATTGATTTCAGAGAGGAAGGGAGAAGGAGAGAGAGATAGAAACATCAATGATGAGAGAGAATCAGGCTGCCTCCTGCACATCCCCTACTGGAACCAAGCGGGAAACCCAGGCATGTGCCCTTGGCCAGAATCGAACCTGGGACCCTTCAGTCCTCAGGCTGACGCTCTATCCACTGAGCCAAGCCGGCGAGGGTAAATCTATGGTAAACAATGTCTTTGGAAGCAAAGAATCAACAGAAGCAAATTAAGGCCTGGACTGGTGAAGCAGGCGACCCCTGGCTTAGGAGGTTCTAGAACTTCGGTTTCATCTGGGCAGCATGTTCCACGGCTGTCGCAGGCTCTCCGAGAGCCTTCACCGGTCCTGTCCAGCTCTCCCCGGGCTGGGATGAGCCCTCTCCTTCCCGTCTCTGTCCCCCACCAGGTGTCCGTGTGCCCCCTCCTCCGTCCCGGGGCCTCCCAGGTCCAGGACAGGGCATTGTCCAAAGGCAAGCAGCACAGAGAGAGCCTCAGTCCCTTCCACGTCCTCTCCCGGCCGAGCTCCCTCGGGCAGTGGCTCTGCCTTCCAAGACGGATCCTTGCTGGTGGGCACCTCCCAGCCTGTTTGGAAGCATGCTCAGGCCTGTGGCTCCGTGAGCTTCTGTTTGACTTGGGGGTGGTCCCAGGAAGGAAAAAGCTGCCCTTGGGTGCTGATGGACAACAGGAAACACTGAAAGCAAACAGGGTGTGTGTGTGGGGGGTGCCTGTTGGGATAGGACCAATGAACAATGGATGGAGACAAAAGCAGGGGTGGGGTGAGTGAGCGGTTGCACTCACATCTCATGCAACTGTTCCCACTTACCCCACCCCACCCCAGATCCCCCCAAAGAAGAATGATAAGTGTTTGCTCAATTGCTGTGTATGAGGCACCTACTGTGTACCTGGCCTTGTAGGTGTTGGGGACATAGCAGTGAATATGACAAAAGCTTCTCCTTTTGGAGTGGATAGTTACTGTAGACACATTCCATGTCCCCGGGACTGGCTCTCTCCTTAAACACACACACACACACACACACACACACACACACACACACACACACACCCCGTATTTCCGGCGTATAAGACGACCCCCTAATTTTACAGTTAAAACATAGGTTTAGGCCTATATTCGCTGTATAAGACTACCCTCCCACTTCAAAGAAAAGACTTACTTTGCCGTCAAGATCTGCAGGTAGCCGAAACCGGTTTGGCTCAGTGGTAGAGCGTTGGCCTGCGGACAGAAAGGTCCCAGGTTGGATTCTGGTCAAGGGCATGTACATTGGTTGCGGCCACATCCCCAGTAGGGGGTGTGTAAGAAGCAGCTGGTCGATGTTTCTCTCTCATTGACATTTCTACCTCTCTATCTCTCTCCCTTCCTCCTCTCTGTAAAATATCAATAAAATATATTTAAAAAAAAAAAAAGATCTGCAGGTAATTTTTGTGCAATTTTGGTCTTTTGCCCCCGATTTTCGGTTGACTTTTTTTCTTTCAAAAGTCGTCTTATACGCTGGAAAATACGGTGTGTGTGTGTGTATATATATATATATATATATACACATATACATATATATATATATATATATATATATATATATATATATATATATATATATATATATTTGTTGATTTCAGAGAGGAAAGGAGAAAAAGCTAGTGAGATAGAAGCATCAACGATGAGAGAACCACTGATCAGAGACAGAAACAGGGGCATGTGCCCAGACCAGGAATGGAACCTTGATCTCCTGGGTCCTAGGCCAAAGCTCAACCACTGACTAAGCCAGTGGGCCCGATCAGGACGGTCTCTCTCTCTCTCTTATATATATATATATATATAAAATTTAATTAATTAATTTATTTTTTTTACAGAGAGGATGGAACAGGGATAGAGAGCTAGAAACATTGATGAGCGAGAAACATCGGCCAGCTGCCTCCTGTGCATCCCCCTCTCCCCCCCGGGGATGTGCCCGAAACCAAGATACATGCCCTTGACCGGAATCGAACCTGGAACCCTTCAGTCCCCAGGCCGACGCTCTACCCACCGAGCCAAACCAGTTAGGGCAGGACTGTCTCTTTTAATCCTCTCAGCAATTTAACCCAAGGCCCCATTTTCCTGATGAAAAAACGCAGGCACGGGAAGGTGGAGCGCCCTGCCCCAAATATTGCAGCCAGGACACTGAGGCACCGCGAGGCTGAGGGACCTTCCCAGGGTTGCACAGCAGAGCTCCTGAACCTGGGCTCAGGAGGGAGCAGGAGGAGGGCAGGAGGTGGGAGAGTAGCTCTGGGCTCCACCCTGCCCCCTCCTGCCGGTGATGGTCAAGTTCAGTCTCCCGCTTGGCCACGAGAGGGCGCCAGCTAGCCTCCGCTCAGATGCCGAGTAGGTAGCGGCCCCCTCCCGCAGGAATGCGGGCGCTGGCGGGCGGGGAAGTTGGCCGCCCGCCCGGAGCAGCGGCCGCTCGGATTCCGCCGGCCTGGCCTTCCTCCCCCTGGAAGCCCGGGTTTGCAGCGAAGAGGCGGGGGAGCGGCCCTGTAGGGATGTGTGGTCCCTGTTTTCGCCTCCCCCCACAAGGGCTTCCAGCCGAGGCTTCCAGGGAAAGGCCGGGCTGGACCCAGGAGGCAGGGACTCACACGCATATGAACATCACCGCGAAGGGCTGTCATTCCTGAAACAGCAACTAACTCCTGGCACTCAGTAGGGCCTTTCTCTCCAGCCGCGCCCCTGCTTCGCAGAAGAGGAGAGTGCTTTGCTGGCTCAGGCAGCTCTTAGCCTGGACCCTGCGGCCAGGGGGTGCCAGCCCAGTCACTTCCAGTCCCATCAGGCTCCTCTGTCATTTCTTGGTTCTGACCACTCCATGCCCCCCTCCCTCCCCCCACCTTCCCGGCTTCAGCAGCTGGCCTGCCTCCCCCCCTGGGTCCAGGGAGGTCTTGACTGGCAGTGAGAATTTTCAGAAGAAGCTTGTTGCTACGCTGGGAGTGGGTGGGGTGAGGATGAGGGGATAAGTCAGTGTCACCTTCAGGGTTGATGACTGTGTCCGAAAAAGGTCCGAGAAATGAACGATATCTGCCCCCACAGAGCTCACAGACCCATCAAGGAGGACGACCCCTAACTAAGCAGCCAAGAGGGCCAGAGGTTCCTCCTACCCAACCAGCCTGGGAGTCCAGGAAGGCTCCCCGGAGGAGGCGGTCTTCAGGCTGAGACCTGGATCCTTAGTGGAAGAGTCAGCAGGTCACTAAGCAGGTGAAGGGTTAGGGTGGGAAGGAAGGCAGCTTTGTTTAAGGGGAGGGAACAGCCTGTGCAAAGACCTGGAAGGGAGACGGAGCTGGTGGTTTGGGGAGCAGAGAAAATCTTTAAACCCTTCTTATTAGGCCAAGGAGATCCGCTCTCTCCTCCTCTCTCTCCCCCTCTGTTAATCCTCACCTGATATATATTTTCCCATTGATTTCTAAAAATATATTTTTATTGATTTCAGAGAGAGAGAGAGAGAAACATCGATGATGAGAGAGAGAGTCATTAATTGGCTGTCTCCTGCATGCTGGGGTTTGAACCTGCAACCCCGGCATGCGCCCTGGACCTGGGACCCCTCAGTCTGCAGGCCAATGCTCTGTCCACTGAGCCGAACTGATAGGGCTCCACTGATTTTTAGAGAGAGTGGAAGGGAGGGATGGAAGAAGGGAGGGAGGGAGAGAGAGGGAGAGAGAGGGAGAGAGAGGGAGAGAGGGAAAGAGGGAAAGAGAGGGAGAGAGAAACATAAATGTGAGGAAGACACATTGATTTGTTCCCTCCTGCATGCATGCCTTGACCAGGGCTGGGGACTGAACCTGAAACCCAGGCACTGCTCTTGACCAGGAATCAAACCTGAGACCCTTCATTGCTTGGGGCAAGGTGCTAACCACTGAGCAACAATGGCCAGGGCTAGGGGAGTCTCATTTTAATGTGTTAACTTACCCGCCCATTCGTTCATTTATCAGATCCTTGGGTACCTGTCATGTAGTGGGTCCTGGGGATGGGGCTGAGCAAACACAACAATCTCCTCTCTATGAAGCTGACATTCCGGTGGGTAGAGATGGGCAAGAACCAAATTGTGACCACAGTTGCAGCATATATGTCCTTGGTGAGAAATAAAGTGGCTTACGGGGATGGACCTCTCTGAGTTGGCGACGTAAGGAGGTGATGGGGGAAACCATGTGGCCATCTGAGGAGAGCGCTCTAGGCAGAAGGAACAGCAGTGCAAAGGCCCTGAGGTGGGCGTGTGCATGACAAGTTTATGGAACAGCAGAGAGGTCGGCGTTCCTGGAATGAAGGGGCTGCAGGGGAGAGAGCAGCAGATGATTTGAGACAGGTATGCAGGGGTGAGATCACGTAGGAGACCTGACAGTTGGTGATTTGAATCTAAGAGGGGAAAACTGTCGAAGAGTGTTGAACAGAGGGGTGACATTATTTTTCTGTTTTAATAAAATCATTTTGGGTATGTCCTTTGTTACTATGATTTGAAATTCAAAATTTATCAGTACAGGATTGATTGCATAAATTATTGTTCATGGATATACATATACATTCATATATATATATATAATTTATTGGTTTTAGAGAGGAAGGGAGAGAGAGAGAGAAAGAGAGATAGAAACATCAGTGATGAGAAAGAATCACTGATGGGCTGCCTCCTATACGCCCCCTACTGGGGATCAAATCCAAAACCCAGGCATGTGCCCTGACTGAGAATTGAGCCATGACCTCCTGGCTCCTGGTTTATAGGTCAATGCTCAACCAGTGAGCCACACCAGGAGAGCCATGGATATATTTTCCATTGATTTTTAAAGAGAGTGGAAGGGAGGGAAGGGAAGAGAGAAGAGAGAGAGAGAGAGAGAAACATCAATTGGTTGTGGATCCTTTGTTGCTCAGGCCAACGCTCTAACCTCTGAGAAACACAGGCCAGGGCAGAATTGTTTTAAAAAAATCTTTTAATTATGAAAAAAAACCCAAAACAAAACACACACCCCCCAAACCAACCCCACCATTGTGAACATTTTACTTATTCAAAAGATCTTTTTAAGGCTCCCCTGGGCTGCTCTGTGGAGAATAGATTGCAGGGGGCTAATGCAGAAGGCGGGAGGGAAGGGGGCTGGTGCAGTACTCCAAGGAGAAATGATGGTGGCTGGACTAGTGTGGAGGCCAAGAAGGTGTGTGAAGGGGTTGGTTCTGGATGTATTTTGCGGGTCACGTGAACAAGACCTCCTGATGTACTGGCTGCGAGGTGAGACAGAGAGGAGCTAGAGGTGGCTCCAGGAGTTTTGGCCAGAGCCACTGGAGGAACGAACCTGTCTTTGTTCCGGTGGGGAAGACAGGGGATCAGGTCTGAGTGTTGAAATAAAGAGGCAAAGCTTGGCATGCCTTTTTAAAAAAATATATATTTTATTGATTTTTTTATAGAGAGGAAGGGAGAGGGATAGAGAGCTAGAAACATGGGTGAGAGAGAAACATCGGCCAGCTGCCTCCTGTACACCCCTTACCGGGGATGTGCCCGCAAGGTACATGCCCTTGACCGGAATCGAACCTGGAACCTTTCAGTCCACAGACCGACGCTCTATCCACTGAGCCAAACCGGCTTTGGCAGCTTGGCGTGTCTTGAACAGTCTTTGAACTGCCAGTCTTCGTGGACTCGGTGGTAAACAATAAAACAGAACTGGCATCCACTAGAGTTCATAGCAGTTGTCTCCCCCCCTCCCCCCTGACACACACACATACATACACTTATTTTTACAGTTGCCATCTGGATTGGTGATGTATCCTCCTTAAATTCATCTGAAACTGACTCAGGGTGATTTAAGCTGCAAAGGAATGTATTGGCTGGGTACCGGGGGCTCGCGCAATCGCCAGCCTCGGGAGATAAGAAGGAGCAAAGTGACCCTGCCAGGAAGCTCCGTTGGTCGGAGCGTCATCCCGGACACCAACCAAAATTCCCGGGCAGAGCACATACCGAGGTGCTGGGTTTGATCCACGGCATGTATGGGAGGCCACGGATGGATGTTTCTGTCTCACATTGATGTTTCTCTCTCTCTCTCTCTCTCTCCCTTCCTCTCTCTCTAAAACGAATTAGAAAACATAGCATTGGGTAAGGATAGAAAAAAGAGAAAAGGAACAAAATAGGGGTGCAGAGCAGCAGCCAAGGCCACGGCTTAAGCCATCGCCCCTGGAACCAGCCGGCGGCTCTAGGTTTTGCTGTCAAGCCTGGCAGCACAGGGCTCCTGCCTCCTCTGCCACGGGTCCTTCTCCGGCTGCCGCCTCTCCGTTCTAAACCATACGCATCTGCCGAGCGGAATGGGGCTCGCACGCTCACCATCTAGCTGCAAGGGAAGCTGGGAGAGAAGCTGGTGTGTTTTCTGCACAGCAAGTCTATGAGTAGGGGTGGGGGGTGGGTTCCTGTGTGCCCCACCCGCAAGTGAATATCCAGCCCGGCTTCTCTTATGGTGACTCTGATGGCGTTTCCTTCTTGACAAGGAGAGCAATTTGTCTTTTAAGCTAATGCAGTTAAAGGAGGTTTTAGGAAGCAAGGAAATGTTGGACCTGAAAACCAGGGCAGCTGGAGACCTGTGGGGGAAGGCGGGCAGCGAATGCCAGCATGTTCTCTTGGGGGTCTAGGGAGGGTGCCTCTTTGCCCCTCTGCTGTCTAACGCACACGTGTGCCGTCCTCCGGGATCCTGGATGGGGGAGACAGCACACTCAGGCGGGTGCACGGGGCAGTTGTGAAGGAAAGGGCAGGGGCAGGGAGACCTGTGGCGGCTGGCGCAGCGCCCTCTGCTGGCAGCTGTGGGTCCCCTCATCATCTTTAGCTGGAAGGGGCAAAGGGAGGGCTTGGTTCTGGGAAGCTGGAGCTGAGCCTTAGCTGGAGAGATTCTGCGGCTCCACAGAGACCCAGATGGAGGCCGGGTCTTTCCCCTCCCACCTCTGGTCTCCTACCCGCGCCTCCCAATGCAGAACCCAACAGCACCGGGAGCCAAAGGCGGAGGAGGGTGGTCGACGTACTCTTGGGGTGAGCCTCCTGCATCTGTGCGCTTTCCATATCCTTTTAAAAATTAATTTCTAAATTGAGGTGTAATTCACATACCATAAAGTTTGCCATTTTAAAGTGCAGTCAGTGGATTTTGGTATATCCACAAGTTTGTGCAAACATCCCCACTGTCTAATCTCATATATTCTTTGAAAGGTATTGCAACATCGTCCTAAAAATCCAATAAGGAAGAGGAGAGAGAATTTAATTTGATAAAACATACAAAGCACCCCCTGTCTCTCAGACATCTCTTCCCAGGGCCCCAGGCTCAGTTTCCCTTTGTCCAGGTCACTAGAGACCCCTGAAGACCAGCAGAAACGGAGCTGGGAGGCCCTACACCTGACTCCTGTCCCTCTCCTCTGTCCCTGACAACCTCCGAAACTTCATTCACGAGCTGGGAGGTTCTGAGTGTCTCCATCTGAGGCGGCCGCAGAGCGAACATGAATGAGAAAACGTTGCCTGGAGAAAGGCATTCCACCGTGGCCACTGACCCTGAGCCACAGCAAGACTCCAAGTGAAGGGGAACGGAGCAGGGGCCTGTCCCGTCGGCTCAGCCTCATCGCTGCGAACCCTGCTTCATGGAGGATGAGGCCAGGGAGCCAAGAACCGTGTGGCTCAGTGGATAGAGCGTCGGCCTGCGGACTGAAAGGTCCCAGGTTCGATTCCAGTCAAGGGCATGTACCTTGGTTGCGGGCACATCCCCACTAGGGGGTGTGCAAGA